CTTCAGATGTTTACCTGTATAAAAAGCCTCAAAAAATCTGTAAATTTCGCAAAAAATCCATACAACTCGGGGGAGGGGTCAGCCTCGCTAAGGATGTGAAAGCACCCACTGCAAAGCAGGAGGAAAGGAGAGCGGAAAATTTCAAAACCTATTTTTACCGGTAGAACAGGTTGGAAGATGGCTATTTAATGATATTCATTGTTTTTTTTAAATCGTCCTACAAGCTCTGACATGTTAGATAAATTTGAAAATGAGGTTTTGAAAAAATCTGTAAGACTTGAAAAAACCCGTGAGATTGCTCTATACGCCTGTATACCTGCAAAATGACATAAAATCCTTATAACTTATGGACAATCCGTACAGGTTGACATGTATGTTATTTATTTGTTTTCTGGGAAAGCAAATATAAGTTTACCATAGTACCTTACACTGTCAAACTTGTTTTTTGGGGTTCAAACTGGTGTGGGTGGGACATAGTTCATGTTGGGGGGGGGCAGGTTGCGCTTCAACTCGCCCAGGGCACCAAAATGGCTAGAGCCGGCACTGTGCATGTYGATTATTTTACCCACAAAATGATGACAGTCCACCACTAACACAGGGTTTAAAAGCAGCCGGCAACATTCGCCATGTAAAATCTTCATTTCACTGCATTTCTGCCGGCTACGTTTGCTGCAGCCCAGTTGTGYTGGGAAGTGGAAATTTTGCACTTAAAAGTCATAAATTTAAACTGGAACACTCCTACTTGGTGGGAATTCTCCTCTCGTAAAGTGGATGTGTTAAAATGCTGTTTCTCTGCAAGAAATACCAGGTAGAGCTCAATTATTGTTTGTTAGCGGTGCTCAGTCGTAGCAACAAGGGCCACTGCAATGTTTATGTGGCCCTAATTGAAAAGGAGTTTGACACACATGATTTAAACAAAGAATATGTTCAATATATTGTATTTTTTTTTTGTTAAAAAGAGTTTATTTTGATGATACGGCAGCAACGCATCTCAAAAAATGTGGGGACACGTCCGTGTATTTTACCAGCAGTCTGTAAACGTCTCTGAGCTGAGGAGAGCAGCTGGAGTTTTTGGAGGCGAATGTTGTCCTGTTCTTGTCTGATGTAGGATTCCAGCTGTTTAACAGTCCTGGATCTATTTTAAATCAGCTTTGGCCCGAAGAAGACAGCAGCTTGTTTGGATGGTTCTTGTTTGCATGATAGAACTTGTATGGTTGGATGGCACACTGAACTGTTTTTACATACGGTGATTCATGGAAGTGCTCCCTGAGTTTTCCCAGTTTTCTGTTTTTAGGAACATAAATTTGAAATTGTTTTGCAGTTTTTAGATGCAGTTTCTCACAGACTGATGAACCTTTGCTTCTTTTTTAAAGGGGACCTGTTATGCAAAATTCACTTAAAGGTTTTTTTACTCAACTTTGGGTATGTACTTCTTAAAAAACAGTCCTAGGACCACAAAAATGCACCCAGGGGCATATTTACTGTAAGTTAATGTATTTTTAATGTATATTAATGACAAGTTTTATACTTCCGTTATTTTGTGATGTCACAAGCTGTACGACAACCCACCAGAACCTACGTTCAGCCCCTTACCAAGCAACCCCCGGGTGAAACTCCACCTCCTCAGTATAAAAAGCCGTCACGGTGTTGTTGTGCAATGTGCAGCTCATTTCACAACAAGCCTCCAATAGGACAATGGGTAGAGTGTTGAACCAGAGAGTGGGAGACCAGGGTTAGAGACACACAATTTAATTATTTATTTTCGTTCGTTATTAACACGTTTTCTCATGTACCTCTATTGTTTAGCTTATTAAAACCTTGTTAAAGCCTATTTGTTCGAGTTTCTGAGGTATTTTCACCGCTGCTGCTCCCTGCTCTGGTAACAGCATGCAGAGTGAGGGCAGAGCAGAGGAGGAGGGAAAAAAAAGAAGCTGGGACCACGACTCTGCCTCTGGGTCTCATATGGTTGTACAACGGAGCTTGTGCTATTATTAGCCATGCTAACGTAAACGCTGGCTTTGGAGGGCGGAGTTAATGTCAACAGATTTTTGGAGGGCGTTACCAACAGAGCTCATTAACATAAACAGCTCTTCTGAACGGAAGTCAGAGCAGGCAGAACTAGAAAATGGGAAATTTTATTATCTGAGAATTATTTTGTGCATTAAATTGAATGAACATGGTCTGGATAGCCCACAGACATACCATAAAAATTTCTAGGACGCATAATTGGTCTCCTTTAAAGCTTCAACTTCTCTCAAATTTTCATAGAAAGTGGTATAATTTCTCAGTTACATTTGATATGTTTACTGTGTTTCACTGAATACAATGTAGGCTCATGAGATTTGCAAATTGTTGCTTTCTGTTTTGATTTACATCAACATTTTTAGTAATTAGGGTTGTAAAATGTGTGGGTAATTTTTTTTTAAACTAGACATTTTTGCCATTTTATGTGTGCCTACACTTGTCGTGTCTAGTAGCTTTAGGTTAGGGTCCACCAAGAGTCAAAATGTAATCAGCGCCTGTGTCAACACGTCCAATCCATTGACCTTTTCTGATCCCTCTGATACTTTACACGAAGTCAGACGTGAGGG